ACGAACTTTCGGACCGGCGCAGTAAAGGAGCCCCAAACCGTATTCTAATTCTCAAGGCCCCTGCATTACACCGTTGTCGAACCTCCAAGCTCCAGACTGGGTGGGCAGGGGGTGCATGGCAGGGGGGTTAGAAGGGTTTAGGGTTTAGGGTTTCGCGTGTTTGGGTACATCCTTATCGTCTTCATTCTCGTCACTCAATGTGTTTCGTGGCTCCTTTTTAAGGAAGAATCAACCTCACCCTCATGATCATCATGGACAATGACGTTGCTGGTAGTAATGGTGGTGATGATGACGGTGATGATCAGGATGCTCATATACTTCGTGATCGCAGCCGTTCGTGACGAATTTCTATCGTGGTCGGTAAAGTCGGTGGCATCCGAGTGCAGGTGCACACGGGTGGCATGGACACGGCTTATGGTCTTTACCGAAAGACAGCGTGCCCAACAGTGTCTCTTCGCAGACGGCTGGTGTTCCCAAAAACTGCCTTAATGGCCTTAATGCGATATGCCTGCTTTTTCCAACGGTGTTGGCAGGACACCGGGAAAGACTTGTTCAAGAGAAGAGAACAGCTACATCAGCACGTGAGACCTGCTACAGGAGCTCGGAGCTGCCAGAGAAAACCGCATCGAAGATCATCGTCCTCGGCCTTTGCGCTCCGCCCTGCCACTCCTGCTGCCACTACTACGGCTATTGAGCACTAGTGGACTACTACTGCTGCTTACTGTTCAACCCGACATATGAATCATCATCATCATCATCATCATCACCATCATCATCATCATCATCAGCATCATCATCATCAGCATCATCATCATCATCATGATTGTCGTTCTTGTCATCATCTTCATGGACGTTGCCATGCCATCCTCATCAGTACCAAAATCTTTTATCGTCCTCATCACCAACATCACCATTGCCATCGTCATCTTCATCAGCAGTCATGGAAGTCATGTCAACCAAACGGTGTGTCTACAGATAGCAGCAGTTGTATTCCACACAGTATTCACGAAACCCAGAGATTTCGGAGTCCCCCGAAAGCGTGCTTTTCCTAGGTAGTACTTGGGAGACCCCTTAAAGGGGACCCTTCTTAACCCCACTTATGGCTCTCTTAGATAGTGACCTTATTGAGAGGGTCTAGATCCCCCCCCCCCCCCTCCCCCAAATCCCCCTAATCCCAAACCCCTTAACCCCTAAACGCAAACCCTGAACCCTAAACCCTAACCCTAAAAGCCCTAAGCTCCTATTGTTGACACTCGAAAGCTGAAATGCCTACGAGCTCCTGGCCCGAAGTTTTGGGCACCAAACTTGACAATCGTTCCTCGAAGTTGTTGCCGACACGAATATAGGGGCCTAAATCATTACCAATACTATTTTTGGGGGCTCCTTCTTTTTATTATAGTCGAATATACCTCAAACAAAATCGTATTCTAATTGCTAAGACCCCTATATTACACATGTACCAACGTAGCGGAGCACTTACTTCTATGCCCGGAACCATTGCAACTGGGTCTGAAGCTGTCTGCGGCAAGCCGGTAAGCCGACGCAACAGACAGTATGGTAACCCATACGGCGAGATGTTGTTGCCTTATGAGCCTACTTACTTTGTCTCCTGGTACTCGAAGTAATTTTGTGGGTTTCTATGTTCGAGTTTCGCCTGAAGCATAGGCCCGAACTCCACAGCCATTCAGAAGCCTAAAAACCTCGCAAGAGCTGCAAAAGACCCAGGTTGGCGTCCTTCGGGAAAGCCTCCCAAACCATAAACCCATACTAGCACCACTCCTGAGGCTCCCCCCGACCCCAAGAAACGACAAGAACCAACTTTCATAAAGCCTGTTCAAGATCTCTTTTTATATCCTTAAGCCCAATCCTACAGCCTCCAAAGCGGTTCAGAGTCTCGCGGCTCTCCTCATAAAGGGTGGTGTGTTGCAGGTCTTGGCGGTGATGGCGGCCCGCAAGGCTCTGACCGCTTTCTTTGTGTTGGCGTGCAGGGTACTTGCTTGGGATCACAGGACGTAGTTAGTAGGGTGATCCACAAGGGCTATAAGAAGATGGAACTTCATAAAACTGGAATTGCCTTACTTGTAGGCCTACTTACTAAAGTCTGCGACCCTCAAAGTAGATCTTGGGGGTCTGCAAGGGTTTCGCAGCCGCCGCGGTCGGGTCTTCAACAGGGTTGAGGGTTTACGGTTCATAGTTTTTTGTTTAGGGTTTAGGGTTATTGGAGTCAGGGAGAAATTCATTCAATGTCTTGATCGCTTCTCCCTGTCGTATTACACCGACCGTCAGGAAATCTCGTGCGATCTTTCTTGCCTGCGGTGGAAGGTGTACTGCGGGCTTAGAAGAAGAGCTGGAGTAGTGTGGAAGCCTGAATAATTTCCAAACTATTCCGTAGGACTCCGGTTATCATTATACTAGATCAACCCCCCTCTTTTAAAAGCATCAAAGCTCATGATTATATAACGTCGTTAGAGTAGCTACCCAGGGACTCCCAGGTCCATGATCTCAGGAAGATGTCTGAAACTTCGAGCAGGTTTCTGCATAGTGGGATCTTCAGAGTTGGGACATATTAGGATTTAGGATTTAGGGTTTAGGGTTCAGGGTTTAGAGCTTGTTTAGGGTTTAGGGTTCAGGGTTTAGGGTGTAGAGCTTTTGCGCCGGGGTTTAGGTTTAGGGTCGTTTTTGGTACTGTTCAAGTCAGGGATGTGTCTTTCTCTGGTTGTATCATGACGGCTGGGATCATTACTTTGATCGTTTCCGTGAATTGACCGCAAGCTTAGGAACTTCGACGTCATGCGTTGGGCAAAGGTGACCGAACATTCTGTGGAAACGTTCCAAGCGCACCTCCCTTCCTAATGGACTGCCCAGAGCATCTGCTTGGACCCGAGGACTTGGTACTTCATAGTCCGTCCCAGGCGCTACGCTGTGTCCCGGCAATTCCTTATCTGGCGAAGCTGGTGACGATGCTTGTTCGGAAGCCCGCCATGCCTGCCTCCAGCTTCTTTGGCGCCGCTTTTTCTTGCTCAAAAAGTGCTTAAGCCCTAGACCCCAAACCCGAAAGAAAATGTCTCTTGAGCACCATTCACGCCGCAACATAGAATCCTGAAAATTTGCCAATGTTCCATTGCGCCGCGAATCTGGAACCACTAAAGTGTACGGTCATCTTGGTTATCTTGCCAGCTTGGTCATCTTGCTCGTCACCCTGGTCATCGTGGTCATCTTGGGGTCGAGACGACCAGCTCATCTTACAATCTTGATCATCTTGTCCCGCTTGCCCCGAATGCCCGACTAGTTAACCATTTAGACCGAGATGACCTGGATATCTGGTCAGGATACAATCCCCCGCACCCCGGGCAAGTGGAGCAATGTGACCAAGATTGCTGGTCAGGTTGCACCCCTTATAGTGGTTCCAGATTTCCGGCACACTGATTCCTTTCTTCCTTAGGGCTCCTGATTGTAACTATACGATGATAGGCCTCAAGACTTTCTTCCTTAAGCCATAAACCCGAAACCCGCACAGCCTCAGATTCCAAGAACCAGTCCGCCAAACCCAAACTCAAGACGCTGATAGCCGTAGGATGCGACAATACAGTATGTTATAGTGTAATATAATATGGGCAGTTCTCTAAATCAGGGTCCCTTGATAGGTCCCCAATATAGTACAGCACCCTTACAAAAAGGACCCTAAAAGGGATCCTAGTTTAGAGAACTACCCATATACGGTTACTAACCAGAACAGTCATAGCACTCATGGTAGTGACCCAACGGAGGGATCCTGGTGTCCTGCAAAACCCCAAAACTACCCACCCCAACTCCCTAAACCCGAAAAAATCCTAAAACCCAAACCCCCGAACCCAGAGAACCCAATACCCCTTAATTAAGGAATGTGCCTGAAATTATAGGGCCCTTAATATCATGATTTAAGGTATATTCCTTAATTAAGGGATATTGGGTTCTCTGGGAAGCCCAAATCCCGGAACCCTATGGGACCCTCACCCCGTTACAGCCCGTAGACCCTAGACCCGCAACCCTAAACCCTAAACCCCAAAGCCTAAACCCTAAACCCTAAACGATTACCCTAAGGTTCAAAATCGCCCAAAAGCCCTACTTAGTATGGTCTTTCGGCCCGAAGGCCTTAGAATATGAGTCCTTAGAGCCTTCGGGTGACAGCCAGGCCTCCTTGTGCACTCCAAGGGATCTCGAATCTCTGGCCTGGGCTTTCGCCCGCCTCGGCCTGCGCAAGGAGGCCACGTGTGCTTGGGTCTGCAAACACCTAAGCAATGAGATGTAGCAAGCAAATGCAAGAATAGATAGTATAGATAGATAGATAGACAGATAGCTAGCTAGCTATAGATAGGTAGATAGACTATATACGTACTATGCACATATACATATGTGTTGTGTACTGTGCTGTAGCTGAGCTGTGCTGTACTGTATTGTACTGTACTGTACAGCACCTTATTGTGCTGCCCGTATTGTACTGCAAGTAACGTAACTCAACGTAGTACAACATAAAGCAACATAACCCAACGTAACGCAACGTAACACAACGTATCACAACGTAACGTAACGCAACATACCGTATTGTGATGTAATGTAATGTACAATGCAATGCATGCATGGATAGATGGATGGATGGATGGATGGATGGATGGATGGGTGCATGGGTGGATGGGTGGATG